CGAATTTGGCAGGCCACAACAAACTACCCATGTTGGAGACAAGCATTCTCTCAAGAGAAGCAGAAAGAGCCCCAGTTTGCTCTGCCTTGAGTGCGTAGACAGCCCAATGCCCTTGCAATTTGGGAGGCTCATCCGTGCCATCTAGGGGCCTGCCATGCTGGCGCTCACTCTCTGCATTCCCCGCCTGTGCCATCAGAGAAGAGGTCCGAGAAGAGCAGATCCGCGGAATCAGCGCCTGCAAGACGCGAGGTGTGCTTTTGGATGAATAGAAGGATACCTCTGGTAATTGTGTAAAGTGATTAGAACCAAACTGAAACCAGCGCAATCCGTCTGTTTCAGCCAAAGTGACCTAAGTCACCAATGCTGCAAGCCATGTCGCCCATGACTCGTGGAGCACAGTCGTGAAGCTTTGGTTAGAAGTTGGTGCCATGGTTGCAAGGCAGATTCCCTGTTTCCTCCATCTTTTAAGAGAGGTGTCTTCCGAGCGAGCTACCACCTGGTTCTCGTGGAACAACTGGCTTTCGGTGCTTGTCGGCTTATCAAATGGGATGTTTGTTTCACCTGCAGATCTGAGAACGTCCGTGTTGAGTGCATGAGGGCATTCGATCTCGCGCTTGGATTCGCCAGGGTACATCGATGCAAAGCCTGTCTCGATGTTTTCTAGAAAGCCACTTCCTTTTTGAACAAGGGTCTGGCCGGCCCGTTTTTGAGGCTACATTTGTGGTTTTCGTGGCAAACCCATGGAACGCCCCTGCAATTTCAGGGTGTCGAACTCCCTCCAAGGTCGCGGCACTCGTGCAGGTGTGACGTCGGAGCGTTGCTGTAGCCACCCTTGTTGCTGTCCTCCAATGATGCCTGGAACGCCCAATCGTTGGCTCGAACGGTAGGAGTTGGAACCCTCTCTTTTGGGTTTTTATGAAAACCGCATTGGGTGTTTATCAAAACCCGGTTTTAATACAACCCAAGGTTTTAAAAAATGCATTTGCCCATTTTGAGTGAACCCACCAAACTGAAAGCTGACCTAAAGGACAACGGTTGACCCTTGGCAATTCTTCACCTCGCAGCACCTGGGCTTTGATTGCAACCCAAGCCGCGCTATTCAAAAACTGAAGGTCGCTTACATCTGAAGCTCCCGCAAGGGGCTCCAAGGTCTTACCGAGATACCCTCACGTAAGCCTACCCCCAAAATCAGCGATATCTTCGATATCTAATATGATACAGGGGCACAGGGGTCCAAGGCACAAACCCAAAAACCAATCCTCATGCATGGGGTACGGTCACTTCTGGGACATACGTAGGACCTTCGACGGGCAGAGCTACATCACGGCTCGTATCTCAAGAAGCCACCAAAGAGTCCGCGAAATGCCGATCATCGCCTGCTCTCCAACCCATGATGCATGATTAGAAGATTCACTGGCCGTGCCGACAAGATCCGCAGCAGGCTCTTTAAAAGGTAGCAAGGGAACGCACTAGGCCTTTGGAGCGCTAGATGTTCACCGCCACCCTGGGCCCAGCTAATGAATCCACAAAAGCCAAACCAGAAGAACTTCTATACCATGGTTCAAATCTTGGTTGCATGTGGAAATGTCAAGATCTGACATCTGCCTTCGGATGCTGGTTTGAAGCAAACCGAGTTGCCGAATCATCGTGTGCCAATGTACTCAGACCTTGCAAAAGCACATGCTGCAACTTGAATTGAGTCCTTCTACAAAAGAACCAAGTTGCAGTTGCAGCTTCCTGCCTTGTGCTTGGACGTCTCCTGTTTGATCCCGCTTAGGTCAGGAACATTCCATCTTGGTTCAGTGGGCAAATGTCCTCGAACTGAAAGCTGGCAAGTTGGGCCCTGGAAAAAACTACACGGCGTGTCTTCATGTCTTGGGGCTGGTGCCAGAACAAAGCCCATGCAGGCGATGAGGAGGCAGCACGCCTCACACCCCGCATTTCCGGCCATGGCCGAGTCATAAACAACATGCTTTCACCATGGCATATGAAACGAGCACAGGGGCAGGGATGCACCACTCACAAACTCCCAGATTTCTCCAGCGAAAATCAGAGTGTGTGCGGTAAACGAGCTTCATGATGGGTGTGGATGCATGCGGCGTGGTTGTAGCTCAGAAAAGGAGTGACGGTCGCCCTCCCCAAAATCCACCGCTTACCACAAAACCATCACTGAGCATAAATTGCATGTTCTCTCTGCTCAGTTGCTTCATACACGGCAGTATGGACACTGGGGTATGGGACCCAAGCTTCAAGTTACACATATACATAGACAGACACCCACCTATACGTGAACACCACATGGGTACTTGAATATGTGTATATATATATATATACATATTATATATATATATATATATACATATTATATATATACATATATATATATATACATATATATATATATGTATCGGTGTGTACATCTAGTCTGTACATATATAGTATATAAACACCTAGGGGCATGGACTCCAAAGCCGACTGAGCCCAGCAGCCAGGAACAGACCACCGGCGGGACCATCCCCTGCCGCCTGGCGGAATGGTGCGTCGGTCCCGCGCTGGATATTTCCCCGGGCGGAATTCAAAAAACATGATAAATATTGAACGTATTGGAAAATATTGGAAATAATTCGAAACTGTTCATTTGGAAAATATGGAAAAATTGACTACATTTGGAAACTAGGAAACAAAACTCTTCCTTAGGAATAACCCCCCCCTCCCCCGCCAAACGCAAGGGGGCTGGCAAAGGCCGCCCAGCATCAGGTTTGGGAGAGCTCCCATAGTTTCGATGCCCTTCTGGAGCGAGCGGACTGCTTCTCGCAAGCTAAGCTGCCTCGCACATCTTACAAAAACACCAACACCCCGCTCTCGCTGCACTTGTGCTATATCACGCCTACCTACCGGGCAAAGTCTTGTGTCACTGGCCCCCTTTCTCATACACCCGAAATGGCTGCTGATGTTCGAACAATGGAACATGTCTCTGTATATGAGTCTCACTCATCCAAATAGTTGACCTTTTTGAAGCCAGAAGGCTCACAGGTTGGCTCTGAACAACTGAGCCGCCCCCATGTCCAGCCTGTTCCACGGCTGCGTCAAGCATGTTCCCGAAAAAGGCGCAAGTCCTGGTGACTGGTGGATCTGTGCCGAAAGAGCTGCCCCGAAAACAGTGCCCAAGGGGCCAACTTCCCTCTCAACAAGTTCCTCAGGCCCCTTTATTTTTTTGTTTGGCGTTGGACGTTAACCAATGAATACAGCACAAGCACAAAGTTCTTCCCTCTAGGCACACTGGACGATGCTGGGTGGTAGAAGGGGAGTCCAATTAGAACGAAATAGAAATGATATATGCATATAGTCGTATGGGGTGATCTCTCATTTTCTCCCTATTTGTTTTCGCTGAGCTCTTCCTGCGGGGGTCTGCCATTTTAACTTTCACAGCACACTCAAGCAAGTCAAACGCCAGCAGCTGGTCTTGACTCTTTCTTACGACGTGGACAGCAAACTTTGTGTTAAGCCTGCGAACCATGGAAGCCAATGTTGGCACAGTGTTAGAGGCACCTTTAAAAAAAAGACATGCGTGCTGCACTTACGTCTGTTTTGCCGCCAATGTGTTTGCAGTATCCCTCTCACTTCAAACTCAGCGTTTGCCGTACGTATACTGCCTGCTGTATCTACTGTATGTACGGCTACCTGCCAAACATGTGCAAACTTCCAAGGCTCCTGGTGTGCCTGCTCTATTCAAACAACTAGTCACACATACTATCGGATGTTTGCCAAAATAGCACAAATAATAGAATGCCCCCCAAATGCATTTCCCTCCATCATCCTATCCATATCGCTTGCTGCCGTCTTCACTAGATGGTCTGCTGTAACTTGAGCAAGGAGGGAACGAGGCAATTTTTGTGGAAGTTGAAAGGGGCGGACCAAGCCTACTACCTTGCCTGGAAAAGTTCACGCAACAGCAAACTTGGCAAAAACAAAAGCTAGTTTGACCTGAGCGGTTTGGGCCCACCCCCGCAACCCAGGATTCCTAAGCATAGCTTCTGTGGGACAACTCCAGCAGTGACTTCGTCACAAGTGTTCCATTGATTCTGGTGTTTGGACAAACATCTGATGCCTCTACTTAATGCAAAGCCGTATATACATATATGTATATACTCTGGGCAAATTACGAAACATTGCTATCCTTCACGCACCGCGAAGAAGAAAGCCCATAGTAGGACGCCTTTGAGTGAGCCCGATTCACTCCCTAGGTGAGCTAGCTTCGGCTTGCCATGTTTTGCCCAAATATCTTATGACGGACTCTCACTCAGAAGCAGTTGTTTGTTTCCAATGTGTGAGTTCCACACTCAGAAACAACTTTGGCTCTAGATCCCCACGTGCCTAACCGTGGCACAAAGGCGAATGCTCACAGTCCCGTGCTCACTGAGGTTCTGCACAGATCGGATTTGTGTGTAGTGACATGGGAGTGAAATGGGACCGGATATGGCGCTTCTTGAAAGTGCCCTTTATCCAACACGTGACTGTGGGGTGCAAATTAGTGTAACACAAACTGGCAATGGACCTTCATCATGGGTTATGATTTATCCAGCGTCACGGGGGATAATCACTGGTCAGGTATATCAAACGGAAATCGATGTGCAATGCCAGCCTTGGGAGACACGTGCGAGTCTAGAAAAACCAAGCCGTCAACCCAAACATGCCGAAATCCGGACGACTCCGAGCCCCCGTCCTGGTAGCAATTATTTACCAGCCCGCCCCAAACTACACAGCTGCAAGCATTCGAGCGCGGTCGCGGAAGGAGAGTCCAAGGCCATGCGAACAGACATCCCACCGAGGGCGATGCAAAAGGGGCCGGGTTTTTCCAACAAGCTCGTTGCTAACACCCATTCCAAACGGCAACTCTACAAACACTGGAGCCCCTCGTTGTTTAAAGCTAGGTATCTGGCCTGGTGCATGCTGACACCATGCCAGCGCGCCGACGCTGAGCCAAACATGACAGGCAGGGCAGGATGGCAAAGATGGTGTCCACCTGGACCACCACGTCCTCCTCCTGTCAGCACAGTGGGGACAGCCTGAAAGGAGACAAAAAACATGCGGAAGGATTCAAGCATCAACTTTTCGCCTAGCAAGACCCAGGTTGAACGTGATTGCGGCATCTCAAGAGCTCACCTGTCCGTCCCCCTCCACTCAACAAAATGCCAGCGCAGTGCAACCTTGGCGAGCTTGCGCCTCCTCCGGCAGGTCCACTTCCCCGTCGGGCAAAGCGTTCCACCGCTCAAAGTACCTGGCAGGGGAACTACACGCCAGTCATGTTCGCCAAGCCGTCTCTTGCGCGGCATCCCAGGGAAAAATACATCATCTCAAGGGAAACAACAACGCGGCCTGGGGACGGGGCGTGGGGCTCGACCACCTTCGCGGGGGTGGGATCTGGAGTCAAGCATGTGTGTTATTTGGGGACAACCACGTAAACACCAAGAATGGCAACCATTTTCTTGCCAAGGGAAATGACTTGACTTTGTGGGAGTCCCACGAAAACCTCCCCCTCGTTCGGTGCCCTTTGAAACCTGAGTCCACAGGGCCCGAGGGCCCAGGCCCACGAAAGACGAGACCTCTCAGGCATCGAAGTTCAAGCCGCCGATTCATTGGTCAATGGGCCGTGGATTCGTATTATTCAACGTGTGCTTAAAAACAAACGTCACTACTCAACACGTGCCATCACATCTTGGAAGCGAACAAAAGACTCCAGCTTCGGGTCCCACAACAGTCAACAAGGTATAAGACCGCAGCCCTGCAGAACACCGTATGCATTTCAACATACAGTACCGACCCACGTGTATACATATCAATACTAATCGTCCCCCTTGATTTAGCTCTTGCGAGGGCACTCCTCCTGTTCAAAGTCAAAGTCCTCGTCTGGGACATGCACCTGATCGCGGGCACCAATCCGGCTTGTGAAACTTCCTGAAAAGTCACGGACGAGAACATATCGGCCCAACACACAAGCAAGCTTGGCTTGTCCGCTTCCTCCCCACATGGCAAACATTTCCCCAGCGGCCCAGGCCCCTATCTCCTGAACGCCAAAGGCCACATGGCTCCCTCTAAAGCAAGTGTTGCGTATGTCGGCCTGTGGGTCATGGCCATTGTTTCAAGGGGAAGCTCAATGGTCCAAGTTCCCCGGGTGGAGGAGCTGTTGGCGGCTGAGTTCGACTGAGGCACATCTTGTTTTAGCCTGAATGGCCCCCAAACAGTTTACCAGGCCACGAGAACGCTGGCCGCTTTGCCTAAAGATATGTAAATCGGCAAAACGCACCACCAAGTACGCGGATGTGTGCACTTGTATGTGTATACATATAATCATGGTGCACAATATGTATGTATACTATGTACCCATATATATATATATATACATATAGAGAGAGATACATACATATACATATACACACATATATACAGTACATATGTGTATACAATTGTATACATATGTCCAATCATAATCATTATGTCATAGACATACTATATGGTTTCCTATAAATATGTTGATAAATACACGGGTATATAATAGATGCATACCATATGGCCCTGGGTCAAACCCCGTACCCAGGGTGAACATCCCAATCCCCACTAAGATAGGTTCTAAAATGGGTGGTGCACCTACCCCAACATGGTACCATTGGTTTTGACCCACAGCCATATGGCTGTGGGTCCAAAATCCGTACCCAAAATGGAACCCTGATAAATGGAATAAAAGACTAAAGCCTGCGGTCCATATCCTGGTGGGCTTATTTTGACAACCAACAGCCATATGTACACACAACCGTAATCATGTGGACCGCACACAGAAGTGCATCCCGCCTCTGATGGAACCACGAAGGGCCCAAGCTGCGTCTGGGTCAGCTGCTGGCGAGCTCGTGGGTCCGAGTCCATTCCGGGAGCCGGTGATTTCGGCCACGACTCGGCTGACTTTCTAGGTCCTCCAGTAGAGAGGTTAGAATAAGGGGACCCAACTTTTTTTCTGTAGTCTATTTTAGTAGGGGAACCCTCCCCGCAAAAAAGGGTAGGATGGCACTACTGGGGGACCTAGCTGTGGAGATGACTTTCACAACAACAGGGACGCAGCATGTTGACTGGTTTGGCCATGGGGAATAACCTGTGGCTCCATTTTCGGGTGGATGAACATCCATTTGCCACCTATTTTGATGTTCACCAGGGGTGCAGGGTTTTGACCCACAGCCGTTTGTTGGACTTCGACGGATGGCTCCAGAAAAGAAACTGGATTTTCCCGCCAACCTGCCAAAGGACAACCCAAGTGGGGTCTATTTCAGTTCCCGAACATGAAAAATACCAGAACAACATAAGGGATGAACAGGTTCGGACAAGCGGGGGTGCCCACAAGTCTCTTCATTCAGAAGTGTGCCCACCTCTTGCTATCTCGTGTCTTACACCTTCCGGTCGCGAAGCGTTGTGAGAAACAGCCCAGACAACCCACGCAAGTGCTTCTTTCCCCCGGCATCTTGAGAAAATGGAAGTTGGACTTTCCACTTGGCTCCTGTGGGAGATTTGAGATGTCCCTCCTCTCAAACCAGCAGACGCATCCGTCACGCACCGGACTCAACCCGTAAGTTGAACCCCGGCCTTGACCACATCACGCTCCAGATCCAAGACCTCCGAACTGCAGGGATACAAAGGCCCCTGACAGAACTCTAGTGACGTTCCTGAGGCTTCCCGAAGATGACGTAGCCATGAAAGTTTACATGCACATGTATGTGATATATATATATATATACATAGGTTAAATATATATATATATATGTGTATGAGCTGCAGCAGTTATTTGCTACATGTTTGAATGGCCAGGTGTTCACACCTCGCTCTCTCACCCTGCACCCGTTTCGACATATTGACCTTGTTTTGCACGCCGCATGTGTTTGTGACCTCAACCATAGGGCATGGTCCTACCTCGTTTTGTTCCACCTCGCCTGGTTCGGTGTGTAACCTAAAAAATGTTTCCGCCCGGCCTTTCCTGTAGACTTCTGCAAATCGTTTCAGGCGCTTATATACGCATTTTTGTGAGAGAGAGAGAGAGAGAGAGAGACTATGTGCGCATGTTGTCAAGAAAACAACGCCCCCGACTTCCAGGTTCAGGGGATCAACCACAGAACCCAGATGCCAAACGCGGAATCCCTTCAAAGGCCTGCAAAGTGGTTGGGCTGCTTGAGCTTTGCATGGCAAGTCTCCACATCAGGGCTATGCCCAGCAGCTCGATGCTGCCTTGCGGGTTTGGACATTTGAGTTATCAACCCACAAGAAGTTACAAGGGATTCCCCTGGCAGTTGTGCTTGAGAATGCCATCCTGCTGACCTTGAATTACCCAGGTTTCGGTCTGGCTCATTGGGGCAGCCCGAGCCGCAGCATTGCTTGCAATACTGACAGGCTGCAGATTTGGGCGGGAATTGCATCATTGACTGGGACCAGCCTGGGATTTGGGATGTCCCAATCTCCCCAAGCTCCACTCGCTGAGCATCGCCCCAATTCGCACCTTGACGGACCAGCAGGGCCTGGCTGCAGAGTCTACTTGGATCAGATTCACATGTGGCACCATTGTGGGGTAGGTGCACCACCCATTTTAGAACCTATTGTAGTGGGTTGAAAGTCGTTTGCAAAAGGTTGGTGGCCATCCCTTTCAGCCCGAAGTAACCAAATCATATGACTTTATGATCATATATGGGTCAAGCACAACAATTCACGAACCTGAAGCACTTGATGCCGCCCAGGTCTTCCCAACTCTTACCATGCTTGCCAGACCAAGCAAATGTTCCAGCCCAAAGAATGACAAAAGACCTCAGAACACCTTCAGAGAGCTGTGAAGGGGTGACGCGGAGGTCATGGTTGAAGTTTTGGTGCACATAGCATCTCGACCAATAAAGCGTGTCCCTTGGTCAAGCTTGAGACTTTCTATGCGCAGAGCTGAAGAGCTAATGTGCAGACCGTCTGGGCCCTCAACATGCATTCACGAAGCAACAAGTCAAATCCAAGTGTCCAAAACAGGAAGCCGGGGTGCAAGGGTGACTCCATCATCAAAAACTAAGGAAGCATATTCCAGTGTCCAGGAAATCCCAAGCGAGTCACCAAAAGAAACAGCAAACCGCTCCATCTATTCCAACATATCAGAAAGCTATTGCCAATATGAGCAAGTATGTCAGTTTTAAGTAAGGCCACCCATATGACCGTTTAAAGTGGGCGCCCCCAAAGCCTAAGTCCTTTCCTTTTGGTATCCCTTTAAAACAAGCCCAACAAGGGCACGCTCCAAAAAGAGTGGTTCTCCTTTTGGTTTCCCTTTCAAACATTTTCAAACCACCAACCAAGGGGGATAGCCTCCAAAAGACCCATGACATTCCATATGTATATATATATATATATTTCTATATATATGGTCACCCCCCCCTCCTATGAACTACCTTTCCTTATGTATATATATATATATACGGAGGTTTGGCTATAGCCATGCCGTGCCGGACACCCTTTTTCGTTGCCAAGTCCCAGGCTCGGCGAGGCTCTCCCAAAGGCTCTCGAAGAGCGGTGCCCTTGGACCGGGGCGTCGCGTTTTTTGGGTCTGAGACCCTCACAATTACAACTGGCTGTGGGTCAAAATTCCAAATCGCACCCCCAGTCAACATCCCAATCCAACCACTAAAATAGGTTCTAAAATGGGTGGTGCACCTACCCCAAAATGGGATCCCAGTGGTTTTGACCCACAGCCATATGGCTGTGGGTCAAAAATGCGTCAAAATGGCTTGCCCTGGTTTTCTGGAACCAACGACTAAAACCTGCGGTCCATATCCTGGTTAAATTTTAACCCATACCCAACTAAGTCGCCGCAAACTGCCTTCTACGCGGCGCAACTGCAAGCCCCACCTCTTAAAATTAGAGGCAGACCGTTGATGTCCCTTACCAACCCCCAATTTTTGTTTGGCTAAAATCACACACAGCCATTTGGGTATGGTATGTATTGTAATAGACCCTTTGGTGGAGATAATTTGGGGCGTACGTCCACTAACTATTTTTGTGCCCTATCCAAAATGTGTCAAATTAGGTAGACCACCTTTTTTTTTTTTCTTTCTGGCCCAACCTGGCAAGGGCGCCCTCAAAACAACACGCACTGTACGCACCTATTTGTGGCGTGGCTCTCTACGAATCCTTATGGTTGTCTAAACTCCTCAAGGGTTCATGACCAGGTCAAGGGGATTTGGGTATCTCTTTTCAAGCGTACCGTCCCAAAACATACAACCTGAAGGAGGAAAATGGTCCTCCAGAAAGTTGGTTCCTGTTTGCTTGCTGGCTTGAGGGTATCCTTCTTTGGGTCGCTTTACAGAGAAACCCAAGTTGAACCACCCTTGTGGGGAGGTTCCCCCCCAAAACAAGGACCCGCCTGTTTGCTGAGTCAGCCGCAAGAACATGTGGCTATTTTACCAGCTTCTGGCGGCAGGAAACAGTGCCCTGGGTGCCTGGTGGCCAAGGGGGGGCCTTGGGAGCTGTCGTTCATCAAAACCGAAACAAACTGGAACAAGTCAGGAAAAGGGGTGCCTCTGAATTCACTAAAGAGGGCAAAAAACCATCTTCGCGATGTTACTCTGTGGGTTGGTTGCCATTTCTCAAGCATGAATGACCTCATGAGGGGGCCGGACCGATAGAGTTCGAGGATAGAGTCATCCTTGTCACTCGGCTGAACCATGATTTCACCCACAGCAAAGGGCGGCAGGGCCACTGGCGAGGAGGCACATTGTTTCTTGTATCACCTGAGTCACTACGAACGAGTCGCATTCAATTCGAGATGCCCTATAAGATCGTGCTCTTGGGCCTGGCCTTCTATTCACAGAGGCAGCAACTGCAACAAAAAACCGTGGGCGGCAAAGTAGACCGCTGTTCTGCTCGAAATCCAGATTCCCTGTTCTCTGGAAAAATAGAGAGAGAGAGAGAGAGAGCGAGCGAGCGAGCGAGAGAAAGAGAGAGACCGCCCCTTCCCAGTTCTTCTTTTGCAAGTCAAACACGTCCCAAATTTGGGAAACAGAAAGAGCGCGCCAAAGGCCAGGAGTGGCAGCGGGCACAAATTTTGGGGCCTCCGACCAAAAGGCCGGAGGCAGCCGCACCGGTAGGAAGAGGTCCTGGCAAACGGCACGCTGGGAGTGGCCGAATGGCGCAAATGCCAATGCGAGGAACAACAGGCTGCATATCGCATAACCCACAAGGCAAGAAAAAATATGAGGGATACTGAGCGGTTCAACCAAACCGCACCAAAAACAATCCCTTGTGTGACTTTGCAACAAAGGGGTTGTAGCTTCACAAACATCCAAAGCTGCATGCTGAGTCGTCTGAATCGGCCACCAAATACAAGTCTGCGAAATGACCGCAGCTTGTTTAGTCTTGGTAGCGTTGAACTTGATGCTGAGCCCGTGCTTGGTCATTTCCCAGAGCATCTCGGCGCATGTCTCATATGGGACAGCGGAGGTCACCCCGCAAGGAAAAAAGTCATGACTTGGGTTCCAAGGCCCTGAATGCCAGTTGTGAAGAGGTTATTTGACAAGGAGCAAGCAAGGCCTTTGCCTAGCTTCATCCAAGCGTCAGCAGTTCCAAACAGCCTGCAGATTGGCATGGAGCATTGGGGGGTCTTGGACGGCATTGGCATGGCTTGGACATGGGCGGAGCCTTAAAGGGCCTTCAACAGGGTTCTTTGCAACTTGGTCCCATTTCAAAGAACCCGCTGAATCAGCCGGGAAAAGTGCATTCCACAAGGCGGCCGACCGCCCTGCTCCCCGGCTTGACCATCTGCGCGCCAACAAAAGAGGTGACCGATCCCTCACTGGCCAAAATGACCCCGGAAAAACAAGGAGGTAACCTTTTGTGACCTTCACTACAAAATGGACCAAACAGAGAACACCAAAAGGTGAAAAGGTCCATTCGCTTTGAAGAACTCGATCCGGTCAGGTGCCAACCCCCCCAATGCCGCAATGCCCTTCCTGGAAGGCCACTTCAAAGGCCTCTAGCTGACCTGCCAAGGCTCTAAGCAACGGATGTCACGCGCGGCCAATAAAAGCATCAGCTTACGAAAGCGTGTCATGCACAGCCAACAAAACGATGGGCAGATGAAAGCGATCGGTCTGAGAATCACTCATCCTGCTAAGTTGCCATGTCTCCGGCCAAGGCACTGCAACAAGCACCCTGTGATTCGCTGGGGTGAAAAAGCCAGGCACGCCCAGGTACATCTGGCTGAGACTGTCGTTGAAGGCTATGTTGACCTTGGCTGCATGCTTAAAAAGCAATGCCAGGAAAGCAAGGGCTCCTTCCTACTTCTTGAGCAAATGACTTGAGCGCAACAAGCTCGTCATGGGAAAGTCATTATTTTTGCGAGTGGGCCATCAAGCTTGGTCATGAAAGGACATCAACTGATGTTGACCCCGGATGCATCAACCCGTCCTCTTAATAGGGGGTGGTCCTCTCCAAAGACTTGCTTCCCCCCAATTCATGAACTGGGGTTGACTAATTCTTGAACAGGTCTGTGACATCTACGGTGTTTCACTATGGAACCCAAGCTTCCCCGGGGCGCAACTTCCCCACAAGGCCTACAAGCGAGATCTCTAAGGGACGTGATCTTTCCATGGTTTAGACGGCTTTCAGAAGCAACTGGATGCCACTACGAGTGCCGCCCAAGTACAATCCACGCACCGCAAAACAGTGGTCGCTTCAGGAGCGTTGAACGAGCTTCTGATTGACCGCTTGTGAACCTGCGTTTCAAAGTGACAACATACCACCCTAGGCTACTACCATGGCAAGCTGGGTAAGAGACAAACCCCGCCAGCAGGATTCAACGAACTATAGTCATCCCTTAAAGTGTGATGAATCCCTTGTAGCCTCGTCGCTTAGTTCCAGGGTTTAGTGTTTAGGGTTTCGGGGGGACCCTCTCAATAATGGCAATGTGTGTAGACTTATAACCTTGCCTGTCGGCCCCAATGAGGTCTTCTAGCCATTTGGTCACTGTCATTTCACCCCCCCCCCAACCACAGCTCCCCCACTCTCCCTCCCTGAAACTCGCCATTCCCCCGCCTCTCCCCGCACTCGCCCACCACGTCACCCTAGTTTTTCCTTTTTTCCTTCTTCCGACGTAAATCAGCAGAATAGCCACAAACCATGGACGTCCAACGCTTCCAAAGAAACAACCATATCAATCAAGCTGCACCATTTTTGGAGATCTAACTCTACACACAAAAACTAGACCACGGTTGGCCCGAAAGCAGAACATCGCAAGCGAGGTCGGCCCAACGCTGCAGGATGCGTTCTTTTTCCCTACACGAAGCATTCGTGAAGCAAGCGCGAGACAGCGCCAGGCAAGGTGCTCTGCGCAAACTGGTCGGTGCAAGTTGGTCTGCGCAAGTTACTCTACGCAAGTTGCACTGTGCAAGTTGCTCTGCGCAAGTTGCTCTGCGCAAGTTGCTCCGGCAAGTTGCTCCGGCAAGTTGGTCCCTGCAAGTGGCTCCCTGCAAGCTGCTCTGTGCAAATTGCGCTCCCTGCAAGTTGCTCTGTGCAAGCTGCTCTGTGCAAGTTGCTCTGTGCAAGTTGCTCTGCGTAAGTTGCTCTGCGCAAGTTGCTCTAGGCAAGGCGCTCTGCGCAAACTGGTCGGTGCAAGTTGGTCTGCGCAAGTTGCTCTGCGCAAGTTGCTTTAAAAAATGCTTGCGACCGCCCGCGGACCAGGGAGGAATCGAACCCGCGACCCGCCAGTTCCGGGAGCAGGCGCGCGAGCCACGAGACAACTCCCGAGGACCAGTTCGAACAACAAAAGTCGCAAAAACCTCGAGTTTTTGCACCTCGTTGCGCGGGCACCGCAGAAATCGCAAAAAAACCATGGGTTTTTGCACCTCGACCACCACAGCAGAAATCGCAAAAAACCTCGAGTTTTTGCACCTCGACCACGCCGATCCCCGCAGAGTTGAAAAACCATGGGTTTTTGCACCTCGACCACGCCGATCCCCGCAGAGGGTCGCGCGGGAACTTTAGAAATCGCAAAAAGCCATGGGTTTTTGCACCTCGACCACGCCGATCCCCGCAGAGGGTCGATTTTCGTGTAGTGTCGTCGGCACTACCCCGCCGCCCTAAGAAGAGATTTTAGCTCCTCGCAAGTCAATTGCACTTGACTCCTTGCACTTGCAACTTGCACTTGACTCCTTGCTTGTTTCAAGGAGTCATTGCAAGGAGTCATTGCAAGGAGTCATTGCAAGGAGTCATGCAAGGAGTCATTGCAAGGAGTCATTGCAAGGAGTCATTGCAAGGAGTCATTGCAAGGAATTTCAATTGCAAAGAAGTGCTCAAGTGCAAGTCGCAAGTGCACGGAGTTAAGTGCAAGTTGCAAGTGCAAGGAGCCAAGTGCAAGGAGCCAAGTGCATGGAGTCAAGTGCAAGTTGCAAGTGCATGGAGTCAAGTGCAAGTTGCAAGTGCAAGGAGTCAAGTGCAAGTTGCAAGTGCAAGGAGTCAAGTGCAAGTTGCAATCCTTGCCATGACTCCTTGCAATGACTCCTTGCAATGACTCCTTGCAATGACTCCTTGCAATGACTCCTTGCAATGACTCCTTGCAATGACTCCTTGCAATGACTCCTTGCAATGACTCCTTGCAATGACTCCTTGCAATGACTCCTTGCAATGACTCCTTGCAATGACTCCTTGCAATGACTCCTTGCAATGACTCCTTGCAATGACTCCTTGCAATGACTCCTTGCAATGACTCCTTGCAATGACTCCTTGCAATGACTTTCATGATGATGATTCCTTGCAATGACACCTTGTAATGACTCTCATGAGAACAACTCAAGTGAACCCAGCGGAAGAACCCTTCGCCATGCTTTCGGGGGGAAAAAAAAAACTCCCCAACAAATGAACACACCCTTGCAACACCTAGGGCTCCCCACGCCGAAGGAGGTGGGCACCGGGCTGAGCGGCCGCAGCTGGAGCAGAAGCTTGTTCCTGGCAGACCCCGTCGGCCCAGTTGAACCGGTGGTGGCCATGGGTCAAAATCCAAATCGCACCCGCGGTGAACATGAACCAATCCCCACTAAAACAGGTTTTAAAATGGGTTGCTCACCGAAAACCCCAAAATGGGCTCCCATTGGCTTTGACCAGCCATATGATCAGTATGAAAACAGGGGTAGTGGCAAGTGAAAAACCAAGCTTGGTTGTGCAAAGTGAAATCAATCCTCAAGGAAGCGTTCGCAAACACCGACCGATGCGGAGCTCTCTGCAAAAAGCAGGGCGGGTTGGCAGGCAGGGGAAGCCGATCCCTTCATCCTCATCCTCCTGGGGACAAAAACCCTTCCTCGCAACCGGAAGGTTCCCACAACGCCGGAAGGTATATAGCATGTAAGTTATTCCAAAAATGCTGGAAGGTATATAGCTTGCAAGTTATTCATGAGCAGCTAAATGATGCTTGCAGATATCTGCTCAGCAGTTAGGACTTAGGCAGCCTTCAAAAATTCAACAAAGGAGTGCGCAAAATGAACCGTTGGTGCTCGCTTCGGCTTCAAGGCCACATTCTGCACTTCCTGCAGATCCACTCCTCAAAATCGTATCCTGGCGTGTCTATTCGCATCCCAAACCAGCCCAGCCCCCCAAACAAGGCCGTGCCCCTTCCGGGTCGAAAGCCACGATCCCAAGACCCCGGCCACCAGGCCATCGGAGGCGATGAACCTGGCCGACCCACCGAAGATCCGGCGGTTGCCCTCTCAACGTCCAAAACTCCAGCGAAGCAGAAATTGCATGGAGGTCCTGCGGGGTCCTCAACAGAGCCACGCAAGAGGGGGCGGACTGGAAAAGAGCAGAGGAAACAAAAGACGGTGGTGGGAAAATGGCCAAGACAGTGATGTTGCCTATTTCGCCGGAAGAGGGGCCGTCTCCAAGCATGGGGGACTGGAAGGGAGGAAACAAAAAGGAAGTGGCATCATGCCATCATGTACTTGAGTCGCTATTCAGGTCCAAGGTTACACCTGGACAAGTTGAGAAATCCGCACCTATCCTTCACGGGTCGGAGAAATCCGCGCCTGTGCCTCCCGACCCCCAGATCTCGCCGGGGCCACGGGATGCGGATGGGCTCGATGGGGAGGTAGTGCTCGCTGGAGGAAAAGGTCCTTATGCCCACATTCGCGGAACACACGAGCCATATCAGAAAAATCCGATTGAAAATCCTTGTGTCGGACAACATGCCGGACAACAACTTGCTTGAATAGCATAGGGTACTTTGCAAAATGGGATCGCCTTTTCCCTTGCCGGAAAGCACGTACAAAACACAACGTATTAGAGTGTACCTGCCCGCTAAGGCAATACCCTGAAGGCAATTCCATGCAGTGGGCAGTCTGAGGACTTTCGGCAGTTTGGGAAACTCCAAGGCGACAGCTGCCGGTGCGAAAAAGGGCCCCGGCAACTCCAGCGAGAAGAGCTGCTTGGGGCACTCCAGCCACCCGTCCTTGCAACTTGCGAAAGCCAACATATTCCCGGGTACCACGGGGGTTCAGTGGGGATTCTCAAGTCCATGTTTCTAGTCTACCCCACAAGAAGGGAACTGAAACTGATGCAAATGCAGATCTCCACAAATCCCCCCCCCTCCCCGTCAAGGCGCTACGAATCGCCCCCGGCCTCAGAGACCATGTCAGCCGCAGGCTCGTACTGCCTCGAGCGCGTCGAGAGAGAGCGGCCAAAATAAAACACCCGGACGCGCGGAGCATTCTCAGGCTTCATGGGTGTCCTTTTTTTTGGGGGGGGCTCTGGTGCACTCAAGAAAAGTCAACAAGTTTGCCATTGCCCGCCTCAAAATCGGTGACAACCATATATTTATAGAGGTGGGGGAGTTCGGGCGCTACGTCAGGATTCCGCCAGCCACCGCGCGCCGCGAAAAACAATCCGCCACCAGCCGCCAAATTAGTGCGTTGGTGGCTGGCTGGCTCTTCGGCTAATTCCAGAGCAAGCTGCGGCTGACGTTCTTAAGCTAGCATCAGAAGTAGTTGCTGATGTTCTATGAGATTCATCTTCGATAGCACCCGTGGAAGAAACAAGCTGTTGCTTGGAACAACAAGCCATTGCAGAGTTGCTGGCTTGCGTTTCACATCAAGCTTCCTGGGCTCACTCTCCCCATGTTATGGCAATAGTTTCGCAGAACCGCTACCCCATGCGCCATGATCCTTCCCACCTGTGCTATTGAACATGAGTCTCATAGAGCAGCAGCAACTACTTCCGACGCTAGCTACATTAAGAACTTCAGCTGCAGATTGCACTCAACTATATGGCCATGGGTCAAAACCCAAATCGTACCCCCAGTGAACATCCCAATCCCCCACTACAATAGGTTCTAAAATGGGTGGTGCACCTAGCCCAAAATGGTACCATTGATTTTGACAACCACAGCGTGCGTCCAATCTACAATCAACACCAGCAGAAACCGCTTGCAACCAAGGAGCAGCTCAAACCCTAGCTGAACTTACGCGCTATGAATGAGTGGTTCGCTGAAAATGGAATCAACCCCTGCAATGAAAGAGGAGGAGTGTGAGTGAACCACATCAAACCTGAAGGATTTGTTTCTGCACAAATGGGACATCCACTTCTGGCGCTAGCTTAAGAACTTAAGCAAAGTGCTATGGAACTACTTTGCAACTCAACATGAAGGACCAAAACTTCAATTTCACCAACCACGATCCTTCTGAGCAAAGGAGGTGCCCAGTCCTATCAGATCCACCCATGTACAAAACGACTTTTCGGAAGCAGAATTTCACACATAGCTAACGCACAATTGTGACTTATTTGGAGTATACCCTTGTTGGTATCGTTTTGCAAGGGAACCAAGGGACACTAGCCATTTTGGAGGTGCCAAGCCTGTGCATCAGTCTGGTATACATATATATATATATAGTGGAGGGGTATTTCACGCATTTGGCGGAATTAGCCAGCCAGCGAAAACATGATCAAAGCGGCGGAATCAGCCAGCAATCGCAAGCGTACAGTCGCTGCTCAGTCTTGCAGGAAAACGTTAATTAGAGGGAATGCAACTGAAAAAAATCCGGCCTTCTGAACATCCTTTTGGACCCAGAAAGGGCAGCCAAGTTGACAGTTTGGGGGATGTCGTCTTGGCGGCCCCGAATGCCACCAGCCTTGACTTTGTTGACAGGTGGGGCTGGAACGAGCAGAGGAAGCTGGCCTCTTCCAGTGCAACACCCCGCCTAGAGACTGAATGAGTCATTCAAAACTGGCCCCAATGGTGATGTGTAAAAAGCAACCTTGGTCCCAGAAAGAGCCCCCAATTCCAGTCTTGACTAATATGATTATGAGCTAGTTTGGGGGGGAGGGCCTTTGGTGGACATCATTTACATGGGGGATTTGTGTCCACTATGTGTAAGGCGCTGAAACCACTATTGGGGGGTACTGCTATTACTATCAGTAGGTCCAGAAAAACCGAAACACGACCGACTCCGATCTTGGTGTCCTTTCCAGGAAGTCAACAGCGTGCCGATCAGCTGGCGCCTCGTTCACCGCCCCGTTTTTGCTGGCTCAAGATCCCAGGATCCCGCGCAGGGTGAAGGGCAGGCGGATGCTGCTTGGAGAAGCCTGGCGAGATCTGCTGGTGCAAGAGCCATGGGTATGGCTCTGCCCGAAAATCAGCGGAGCCCAAATTGTTGGTGTCCGCTTAAAGTCAACCAAACAGGGTACCCTCAAAAAAACAAACACCCACTGTATCGATCCATACGGGGGACCCTGGCCAGCACGCTGCACCCGAAACTGATTGTTTTCCCCGGGATGGATCTATGGAAGCTAAGCTGCCGCGTGGTAAATGGCTTGCCACTTTGAGATGGGGTTCTAATGATCTCATGCGTCAAATTGTTTGGCTTTAGACTCTAGCTGCAAAACCTGAACTCGGGTATGAAGGTGTTGCCACACTGACAGTGTACTCCCACCCAACAGCTCCTGCACGTGTGAGCCCGTTGTATGCAACCGAAAAGGGATGTCCTTCAGCTCTTGTCTCATTCTTCCCTGAACTTGAAGATCCGGACAAAGCTGCAATTCAGCGAGCGCACAGCGAGGTGGGGTGAAGCAAGGTGTCGCGGGCGCGCACTTGGCCCTTTTTGCTATCCCCATTCGGCGGCACAGGGTCCTGACCAGGGTCCAGAACAATTCATAACGCGGTCGGAAAGCAGGCCGCGCGGCGGTTGTCGGCCCGCTCGCGCCTGCAAGAGCTTCTGATACTCCCCCAGCACCCAGGAGAAGCCTTGCCACTCGCAAGTGACACACGTAGAGGGAGCGCAAATGGGTACTCAGGACAAACCTTCAGGTGAATTCATATTGGACTCTTTGTCTTTAGTGGGAATCTTGCGCCTTTGGGCGTTGCACCTCCTGATAGTCAGGCAGGTGAATTCATCTTTTGCAGTACAGCACCCACCAGCGCCACTCATCCCATCGCCAGTCACCCATATCCAAAAACACTCATGGCGCCCCATGCCCTTGAAGCAAATGTCCAGCTCGGCAAAGTTTCCAACTACGAAAGATAGTCTCTCTGTGGATTCCGAAAGGAAGCTTTCGCCAAGTGCGAGGGGCATTGTGCAAAGCTGCAACCCTGCCCAGGCAACTCGGCCAAAGCGCTACACAAACACAACCATTGGCACGACCTGACCAAAGGACTCCTTGCAAATTTGATGGGGAGAAGATACGTGAACCTGAAAACGCCAAAGGGCAAAAGGTTTGGCTCAATTTGGCAATGTCAATGATGGCAACGACACATACGTGCACACAAACAGCTTTTTTTGCTGCTCTTGGGTTCCCGTGTCACATCAAGGTGTACCTTCGTTTGGCGGGACAAGCCACAGGAGAGACACCTGTCAGCTTTGGAACGTCACAGGACCGGGCATGATTGCAGCAAGCTGCTCTGTTTGTGTCCCAAATCTCATGCCCGGCCCCTAGACTATCACCCCGAGTCTGCCCGCACTGTCCACCACAAGACTTCTTCATTCAGAGCCACTCAAATGTCACTTGTCTCTTGCTTCTTTCTGCCACTTTGCCCAATCAACTGGACTCCCTGCGAAAAGTGACCCACTTCTTGCTGGTTCGGAAGCACTGCTGTTCAACCAAACATTTCAAGGTGAAATCAAGCAACCAAGTGAACCATGGCCATCTTCGCGGACATCTACAGCAAGCCCACCCGGGACCTACCGTCCTACCGTCCCACCCCTGCCCGCCTTGGCCGTCCGCCGAGGGCTCGGCGCACTGAGGCAGAATGGATGTGTGATCCACTCGGGACTGAGAGGGACAAGATGTTGCAAAGATCCGATGTGAGGAATTTCCCCAAGCAGGGAAAAATTGCCCTCCCCCCCCCCCCCCTGTGGCCCGGTGGGTTCTTGTGGGAAACTGGACCTGTGTCCAGCCCAAACTCAGACTTTAGACACTCCCCATATTGTTGTCAGCGGTTCATGTGGTTTCCTGTTGGCACATGAGCCGTGCCGAATACTCTTGTGTAAAAGCGGTGCTATGAACTTGCTTTCGCGGACGCTTTCGTGATGCTTTCGCGACCCCATGTTTTGCTTTCGCGGGCTTCGCTTTCTTTGGAATTGCTTTCGCGTCGCTTTCGCGGCGGACTGTCACACCGCAGCATCATCAGTATGCAGGCTTTCGCGCGTCTTTCGCGGCGGGACCTTTAGTTACTTTCACGATAAGCTTTCGCAAGCTTTCGCGGCCTGCGTTTTGGCTTTCGCGGGGATTCTATAGGACACCCCCCATTTGCTACTTTGTATTCTCAGGGTTTATGGCGCTGCTCACATGGCGTGACTCTGACGGTGGAGCGTTCAGATGCATTGTCAGCTCCACTCCCAGAACTCACGAGACTTCGCTGCCTGAGACTCTAACAAAAACAAAACACACTGGGAAAACACCCTTTCAAAGGGCGGATGATCGTTCTCCATACGCTTCTTTGGGCATCCTTCCTTCGATCGGCTTTTGCAAGAGTTGTCGGCCATCCTTGTTCACAATCCCCAAGCCCGAACGACCAGGTATGTTCGCCGTGTTCATCTGCAACCACCTCTCCCTCTCAACCACACACAGTGCCACCCTCCCAAGCAGCCAGGTGTATGTGCCATGCCTGGATCAACCTGTCCAAACCACGCTAAAAGGCCATGGTTCGCAGACATAGGTGTGTCTTCTATTGAGGCTACCCTTTTTAAGGTTTCTCTAGAGGAAGACCAAGAAGCACACGTTCTTCTTTTCTTTTCTTGTTTTTTGGTGGGGGGGGGGAGCTCCACCCATTCTGCTGTCCCGTATTCAAAACAAGTCGACGATGGCCACACCAGCTCATTTGCTTCTCCGACTCCGTCGCGCCTGCAGCCACTCCTTGGGGAACTGGTGATCGGCTCCGGGATCGCCCCACCTCCGAGCGGCTGACGCGATTGCGTCATCACACATCATAGCACCGGTTGCAGCATTAGACAGTATGGGTACCCGCATATTATGAGAACTTCGGCCACCGTAGGATACGGGACGAGACGGTTCTTTTGCGTTGAGTTGATTTGCGTTGTGTTCCATTGTGTCACATTAAGATTCTGTATAGTGCGATAAGTACCGTTGAGTCGCATTACATTGCATTGCGCTGCACTGCAATGCGCTACAGTACGGTACGGTAATAGTCGCGTCAGTTGCATCGCATAGCATTACCTAGCATTACATAGCATAGCATACCATTGCGCTACAGTGCACTACGTCACATCAAATTGCCTCACGTCACGCCCCACGAGTACATTTTGTTGCACCACACATAGTCAAAGTATATGCGGATATGCTCACATTCATATGCATAGGTGTTTCATTGGCTCATTTAGTCCATCTACAAAAAACAGATTGAAACACAAGAGGTCCTCGCCACAAGCCAATGTGTTTCATTGAACGAGAGGACTTCAGCCATCTTGCAGTTCCTAAGCTTACGGGCACGATGCTGCACGCCGTGTGCCCAATAAACACGAGTATATGGTACAACCCTGGCCACCTGCAGCACTAGGCCGCATACGACATATTTGCCCTTTGCCGGTAAAGACTGTTGAAAACCGGCAAACCAGCCTTTGAAAAGGAAACAAGGGCACCGCCTTGTGTCTGGGCTTGGCTGGGCGCCAAGACTGTGCGGGGACCACGTGTTCGAGGCCAACTTCATGCACACAGCCTTATAAGAGCATAATCCCAGAGTCAGAGAGCGAGCTTTCCCTGCCGTTGTCGGAAGCCAAAACCCACCTTCAGCCCTGCCCCATTCATGACACTGCCTCTCGTACCTCAGAAGTCGCATCCTCCGTTGACAAGCTGTGTTCCACTTAACCATGGCACCTTGTTGCGTTCGCATCGGCAACTTCCAGCCTCCCAGCGTGAGCAAACCACAACAGAGCCTGGCCTTAACTAGTCGCTGGGCACTTGAGATCCAGCCCAGATCATGCAGAGATGTCATGCAAACGATGGCGTAATGATCACTTGCGCCATCGAGGATGTGGATGTCTTCCGGCTCGCCCAGCCAAAACAACTCCACACCAAACCTTGCACAACCAATCCCAGGCCTCTTCTCCCAATCGCCCAGGCACGCACCTCAAAGGCGGACGACATGCCATGGCAAAGGCCCCAACAAGCTGACATGGAGCCCAAGAACCACGTGGTTTACAAATGTTCCGGTTCAATACTGCTTTGTTGTTGCAAGCGTCTCGCCTTCATTCGGCACTAACCTCGTTGAGGTTTCCCTCAGCTGGTCTTAGGGGTTGGTGCGCACAGAGCTCGTTGAATTGTGTCGGGGTGCATTTTCCATTGTTGGATTTGTGCGAGATCACAGAAGACGAGTTGTTTCCCCGTTGCTTTCACGTTCGCATGTGAAGGCAGCTTGTCCGCGAGGAAGGAACATCAAGATCGTAATACACAACATGAAATGGACAGAAAGCACCATCTTGCCCGTTGGGTCACTGCAATGCGCAGGAGCCCTATATTTCTCCTCCGTTTTCGTATGGACGCAAGAGTCGGGCGCAGCACTGGCAAACCGAATCCGCTTGAGGGAGGAGCCCTCCGTGCCCGGCAGCACGAAGACGGCGGTCTGGCGATCCATCAGGCCCAGCCTGCCGTTGGAAAGCCATGGGTCCGGGGAATCGGAGTGCAACACACCCACGGAACCGCAGGGGGTACTCCTCTGGAACTCACGTAAAGAAGGGTCCTGCGGAGACTCCTTTTTACATGGCTGCGTTGGGGTATACTGTTTTTGGGGGGGTGGCGGCGTTCCGATGTGGAAATTGCGGTGGTTTCTCTCGATGGCTTGAGAGAAACTGAATACGTAAACCCATCCGCAAGGCTACGGTGGTGAGTGTTCCGCGAAATTGATGATCCGTCCAGCCCTTTTTTGGACCCGAAGGCGGGGGAACAATAGGTTTCAATAGATCACCCAAAACCCTTTAAACCCCTTAGGCTTTGCTTCCACCTTAAAACACATATTGCCGAACCCAACCTCCATTCTCCTAGGGTCTGGTCCCATAAACATGTGTCGCCTGCCGCGCACGTGACCTCCCAAATGCCTGCGGCGCTCCTGGGGACTCTTCACCAGACGAAGGAAGGGCACCTTGGAAGCAACTTCCAACAACCCCCCCCCTCCCCGCCCCCAACCCACACCACCCCACCCCACCCCCCCAAGCGACCAATGCATGATACCTGTTTCTCCCCCATGTCCAAAGCCACAAGTAATCTTCAACAAAACCCTGTTTGAGTTCCAGTTTCTCCCGCTTGAGACATCACCCAGACCAAAGCCAACGATGAGGAAATTCACCTAAATAGCTAGCACATGAACGGGAGGCTTCATAAACAAGTCTTGAGGGGCGCAAACGTCCAGCAGGCAATGTGAGTCCTGGCAAGTCTCGACTGTTGAACGACGTGTCAATTTCTCCTTCAACCGGCGCAGAACTGGCTGTGCTGCGCAGAATGTTGAAGTGGAGAGAGGCTGGGTGTGAGGTCCGAGGCCGCGTTGGTCAGCATACATTGGTGCAAAGGAGCGCCCCTCATCATGGACCTGTGTGTGTGAGTGTGTTGCGGACTAGAAAAGATTACTGGCTAAACAAAGCCACTTTCCGGACATCCGTGTTCTCTGGCCCGCTTGCTATGCTCGCATCATGAAGGTCCAAGACTACAGCCCAAGCCCAGCCTACAGATTTCACAAAACTCTGAGCCCTCATTCCTCATGAGTAGGAACTGCGGCTTCCCCGCAACCCGCCAAGAAAACCCTGAGTCCGCACCGAAAAAACCCCCAAAAAAAAACCTGAGCCGCCCAGGCAGGCCCATGTAGCAGGCGAACGGTTCTCGGCAGAACAGGAGACAGCCTCGGGAGTTGGAAAATGCGGGCCCAAAGCCTCTGATCCTCGCATGTACCGAGTGACCCTCAGATCGTCGCTTGATCCATGGCGCTTGTAAATTGGATCCAAGCTGAAACCGGTAGAACCCATCTATGTGCAATCAGCGAACCTTCAAAACACCCGTGCAACGACGGTAAACCACCTGGACCGTTTCCCAAGTTGTGCTCTCTGTAGGTGTTGGTCCAAAATGTTCGACAGAAATGTCAGATCTCATTATCTTCCTTGTCAAAGCTCGGGAAAGGAAACAACATTTAGCATGACCAGGTGCTGGCAGGTCCAAAGGGACAAAGTTTTGGATCGACAAACCGCATGCAAACCTCCTTACGCGAACGCTGGGCTTAGACTGCAAAGCAGACTTTCACTGGCACCACGCCAACGCCTAGGCACGCCCACATCTGCGTCATCCTCTGCATGTTGCCCGGGTGCGGGTTGAACAACCTCAGCAAAGGTTGATGGGCAGAGGGGCAGCTAGATCATCGAATCTACGTCTACTCGTGTGCACAGAGTTGAACCCCGGCCTTGCAAGCCTTCCTGCAACCCCAAATGGCCCAACGTCCCCCCAACGTCCGAGGGCGGCACGCGCCCAAGGCAGCCGGTCCCGAGTGCGACAGCAGCCTGTCCCGAGGTTGACGGACTTCGCCGCAAAGCTATATGAACCCCGGAGTTCGCATCATTTCACTGACGTGATTGCTCCTGAAGTCGTCCAAAAACGCAAAGCGATGCGTGGACCAGGAGCTGCCTCAAGGTGGGGGAAATGTGGGTGTGGGGTTTTAGTCCATGTTTCCATTTGCCAGGGCTTTTTTTGGCCCCCTATTTGTGACCCACAGCCATGTCTGGGATTGCGTCTCGGCAGGCCGCGCCGCCCTCTTTTCCCGCTCGCAGCTCCCGCCCTGAAGTTCCGTCACCTGAACAGGAGCGATCAACCCAGGAAGCTTCGCACACCTGTTCCAAAACGCCATGTACTTGTTACAGGTGCACATGGTTGGAGGGGCCATCGACAAGGGCCCAGTTGAGAACTTCAATTTGGGTCACAATCCTTGAGCGAAACAACAAGGAGGCGCTCTGCCTTTCAAACAGCAAAACTAGCTCCATCGGGCTAGCGGCCTTCGCTCATGCCATATCTTTCTCTGCGTACTTGCCCTTCTTGACGGCTCGGTTCTTCCTTGGAGCTCGCACAGCGCGACCAAGAATCCGGGCTGGTGGTTTACCAAGGGCGTTGATTCACCGAGCGCCCCCCTCCTGGCCCTCCAGTGGCCATGGCATGGGCAAAAGAAGGTCTCCCTGGTAGTTGATTGTGAGCCGAAAAACTCCCTCCCACAAACTAGAGGAGATGCTGAAACAAAAAAAGACATGAGCGCGTCAGCCGGCAAGCCTGCAAGAAGCGGGGCCCTTCCACGGCTCTCTCTCTCTCGGGCCCCCCGGCCGCTCCAGCAACGCCCGCCGGTCCTTGTCCAGCTTCAGCTTGGTGATCTCCACCTTCCGAGCGGTTTGGATTGGACGGATCTGGCGAGGATTCTGGGGGTTCTCCCTGACAACTAATTTCCTCTGAAATGGGACCTCGAGCCGATTCAAAGGATAATTTCTACTAATATGGGGAGGTGAGTAAACAAATTCCCCCCTAAATGCGACTCCGGAGCCTAGTCAAAGGAGAATTGTCTACAAATACGGGGAGTTCCGGTGTTCATCACATCGGTGTTTCTGAAAAATCAGGGGCAGTACCCTACAGGTGGTCGGGGATGCCTCTTTTAGACCATGCAAGAAGGCGTGATTCTTTTCAGACACACCCAAAAGAGGTGCGTGGAAGAAACCCGAAACAACACTTTTTTCTGGGACCATCCCGCGAGATTTTGCACCAGGTGTTCCGACAAACCTTCAGTGGCCGACGTGGGAAATTGCTGTCTCGTACACACAAGCTTCGGACCAAAGAGCTGATGCCGAAATCAGAGCGGGCCAGGAAAAAACACTCATTGTTGCTGCAAGTTTGCTCGAGTTGATTGGTGGCCTCTCCCAAGGAAAAGAGACACCTTTTGCCCCCAACTAAACATGGTATTTCAAATTGTGATCCATATTCAGTGAATACTGTAGTACAAAATACTAAAGGAGATCCCCAGACTTTGAAGTGACCACTCTACTTCCCAATGGCACTTGCAAATTATTGGAACCAACTTGAAACCAGTGGAATCCATCGAAGTTCAAACAAACTGACCTTACAAAACACCCTTGCAAGTGACACTTTCCCCACCTGGACGGTTCGGCATTCCCTGCATGTTGGTCAAAATGTTCAACCAAACTGACCTCTACCCTATGCTTCAGTCCAGTTCCCCCCCCCCCCCCCCACACACCCGTTTTCGCCTTGGACGGGTGAATGGGGATGGGCACCGTCTGCCCGTTGGTCTTGTCCCTGGTGACCCGCTCCACGTGGATGCCTGGCACGGAAAGCAACGGGTTGGACTTCGACACCCAAGAAGTAGAACTGCTTGGGTGGGTCTTTTTTTAGGGCCATGTTTTGGGGTTTCAAGCGAAACCAGCAACCGTTTTTGGGGGAGTACCCCGAAAAAGACACAGCCATTTGACTGTGCGGAGGGAAACACTGATTTTCCCCAAGGTAAGGTTGCAGGTCACAAGAGCAACCAAGAATGCGCCTCGCAGGATCCCAAGCGGGCTCAACTCAAGCTGAGACCACAAATGATCAAACAATGCAAAGTGTCCCCTTGCACAGCAAAAAGGAGCGTCCAGGGCAAATGGAAATGCAACTGTATCGACATGGCTTCGGGGATAGGTATACATACACGTTTGTACATATACATATATGTATATATACATATCTAAGCGCGGCCATTTCCGCGTAGGCGTACATGGCCCAATTTCCATCCTGCAAGCCACCGCACAGGCAAACCACATGTTGAGAGCTACCCACCAGTCCTTACTCAACATGGCATGCCTGAAACCAGTCATGCCCCATGCATGCCTCGTGGATGAACCACGTGCGTGTAACAAAAGGCACACCAGCGCGGCGCGCGGCCAAACATCGACGACGAGCAATGCCAACATGGCTCCCGCTCGCAACTCGCCAAGTTGGCAGAACTTCTTCCTGTACACCTGCACGACCTTGCCCTCTCGGTCGTGGTAGTGGCCACGCCTCAGGAGAAATGTAGAGGGGTGGGGGATCATTTTCGAACACCGATTTTGGATCATTTTCGAACACCGATGTCCTGGATCATTTTCGAACACAGAGTGGGTCATTTTCGAACACATGGGGGGCTATCCTGCGGCAGGTGGGGCAGTTACGTTTGCCTCTTACTGCGTGACCGTGCCACTGCGTCCTGGGGGTGGGGGTGGGGTGGGGCAGTTCCGTTCGCCTCTTACTGCGTGACCGTGCGACTGCATCCTGGGGCTGGGGGAAGGGGGTAGTTGCGATCGCTGCTGACTGCGTGACGGTGGAACTGCGTATTGGGGCTGGGGGGGGGGGGGGTGGGGCGGGGCAGTCTCTTACTGCGTGCCCGTGCAACTGCGCCCTGGGACTGGGAAAAGGGGGCCCCGAGTCCCGAGTTACCTTGGCTTTTTGAGCTCAGATGTCCTCAGCGATTTGCGCCCGTTGGCCCCCGTAAAGCCGTGAAAACTCGGCCTAACGGCCGTAATAACTCGCGCGGGAAACTGAAAGGCCGTTACTTCTCCGTGAAAAAGCCGTGAAAACTCGTGAAATTTCAAGCTCTGAGTTATCTTGTCCTCGCGACACAAAAACCTCCTTAGCTCATACGGCCTAAGTAACTTGCGAATCGGAGCCTCTGCGTGGCGGCGCAACTGCGTATTGGGGCTGGGTGGGGGGTGGGGTGGGGCAGTTGCGTTTGCTTCTTGCTGCCTGACCGTGCGACTGCGTCCTGCGGCTGGGGGGGGGGATGGGGTGGGGCAGTTACGTTCGCCTCTTACTGCGTGCCCGTGCAACTGCGCCCTGGGACTGGGAAAAGGGGGCCCCGAGTCCCAAGTTACCTTGGCTTTTTGAGCTCAGATGTCCTCGGTGATTTGCGCCCGTTGGCCCCCGTAAAGCCGTGAAAACTCGGCCTAACGGCCGTAATAACTCGCGCGGGAAACTGAAAGGCCGTTACTTCTCCGTGAAAAAGCCGTGAAAACTCGTGAAATTTCAAGCTCTGAGTTATCTTGTCCTCGCGACACAAAAACCTCCTTAGCTCATACGGCCTAAGTAACTTGCGAATCGGAGCCTCTGCGTGGCGGCGCAACTGCGTATTGGGGCTGGGTGGGGGGTGGGGTGGGGCAGTTGCGTTTGCTTCTTGCTGCCTGACCGTGCGACTGCGTCCTGCAGCTGGGGGGGGGGATGGGGTGGGGCAGTTACGTTCGCCTCTTACTGCGTGACCGTGCGACTGCGCGCTGGTGGTGATGGTGGTGTTGTTGATATTGATGATGACGGTGTTGATGATGGTCATGGTGATGATGATGATGATGATGATGATGATGATGATGGTGATGATTATGACGATGTTGATGATGCTGATGATGTTGTTGATGATGATGGTGATGTCGACGTTGATGTTGATAATGGTGATGATGTTGTTAATGATGATGATGGTGATGATGTTGATGTTGACGATGTTGACGATGTTGAGGATGTTGATGTTGTTGATGATGATGATGGTGATGATGGTCATGTTGATGGTGTTGTTGATGATGATGATGATGATATGGATGTTGGTGGTGATGTTGATGATGGCGATGATGATGTTGGTGTTGATGTGGATGAAGGTGATGTTGCTGGTAGTGATGATGACGATGTTGATGATGATGATGATGGTGATGATGATGATGGTGATGATGATGATGATGATGATGATGTTGACGATGTCGATGTGATGATAATGATGATGATGATGACGATGATGATGTCGCTTTGCGTTCCTTGTGCTTTGTGTTCCCGGGCCTACAGTTGACGATTGTCTCCAAAAAGCACGGCGCCATCCATGTGCTACACGTGCATCGTGGCGCGTGTTCGTGCGCCTCATCGTGGTGTGCATGGACACTTGGAAAAATGGCCGCGCTGCTGTAAATCACATACACTTGAGGAAAACCGCGTTCAAAAACGAGCCGAAACACGCGTTCAAAAACGACCACCTTCCCATGTAGAGCACAGCTGAGCATTCCCACAACAGCAGTCGAAAAACCCACAAACCCAGGCGAGATTGCCACACATGGGGCTGTGCTTTGGTTTGGAGGTCCAAATGTTTGGTATCCTCTGTTTGCCGTCTACGTCACCCAAAGGCCACTCTCGTCTCAAGGACACGCGCAGTCCGGGCGGCACAATCCTCACCTCATCGTCCCTTCTGATGGGCACTGCCCGCACCTCGGCTTGCCCCATGTTGTGACCCGTGTGGACAGCGCGCAAATCGAGAGACCCCCGCCAAGTTGATCCGTTGGGTTGTTTCTTGGCGCTGGTACTCTTGTTTGGGTGGTTTTAAGAAGACATCAAACGGACACCACCACTTTGGGGTATTAAAAAAGACACACCCAGAAGTACAAGAGAGGCCGTTTGATTCACATGTTCTCAGACAGGTGCCTTCACAAGGTGCCTTCCCAAGGGATTCATGTTCCGTGAGCTCAGGGCCGTTTTGAGCACGCGGCGTTGTACTTGTTCCGCAGGTCCTTACTGAGTGGCCTCGCGTCGTCGGGTACGGGGCGCAAGGGCTTGCCGCGTCAATCGCACGAAGCTCTCTCTCATTTGACTCATTCGTTTGGCTCCTGTGGGTGTAGGAACAAGGTGCTCTCTCTCTCTGCGGGAGATCCACGATTCACTCTGCTGCCTGACACACTGTAGTTGCTGGATCCATGATTTTCGCTGCCAGAGCAACAGCACTCAGGCCGCGGCGAGCTCATGATCTTTCTGCGAAGGTGCGAGGGTGCCGTGAAGTGAGTCTTGCGGTTCTTGCCTGTGGCCACCCGCATCACACCCTCGATGCGAGCCCGGCCTTACCTTGAGGCCCCAGGTGCCAAACATGACATCCAGTCTTGGAAAAAATGCCTCCATCGAGCTGGGGTCCTTTCAGAGAGGAAGCCACATCCCAAAGCAGGGTCTTGGAGGGAGAGAGGGGACGAGAGTGGGTCTGCTTGCAATGACGAGGCCGCGAAAGCCGTTTGAGATGAACCCTGCCTCTTTTCAAAATCCACTGTCAAAAGGCCCTGCAAAGAACAACTGCGGAAACACCGCTCACTTGAAATCGGGCCCCTCGTTGGACCCCCCCGACCCCGATGAAGTGGCCCAGGATCGGGAAGACATGGAAGACAAAGACAAACCGAAAGACCACGGCGTGATTGAAGCATCTCGGGAGGCACATGGTGGGGTTGGCCAATAGGCGCGATGCATCGCCGCCCCAATTACTGGGCTGACATTGGACCCTCTGGGCCCCAAAATTTCAGGGTCCCAGGAACACGAGGCAAAGGCTGTGCTCCCAAACTCCTGAGGCCCCTGCGCCGTTTGCTGGACACGCACGCCTGCGGCTTCAGACGTAGACATGCCAACAAATGACTGCGGCACCTCCATGCAGAACTGGCCATAACCGGGTCGCGAAGTTGACGCATCCCCGCATTGCCGCTTTCGTTGTTTCTCCGGTCCCCATCAACGTAGCGGGTTGTGCCATGGCTTGGGCGGCGCAATGCGTCAAAGGCACCTTTGGGGTTCCAAGTGTCCCATTCAGTCCCGAGGAGGCTGCGGCCGGTTCTGCAAAAACGGGGGCTGGATGGTGCCGCAGTGATCTCTGATGAGCAACCGCGTAAAATTACTTGATTCCCAGGGCATGAGCACGCCCCCCCAGCCCCATCCGGGCCTTGAACTTCATGGCTGCAACAGGTTCCAAAAGCACACAGGGGGGCGGAGCCGCACTTGAGCCATCAAATAGCAAAGCCGAGAGCGATTCATGTCCAAAGCACTTTCAACAATCAAAGCCCCGTGTGAGTGGAATCTTGTCATAAGGTGCGTGGTAACCAGGGTTCTCTTTTTTGACTACCTGCAAATAGACTGAAACCCAGGGATTCCTTCTTGGGGTACGAGACCCACCCCTGGGTTTAAGTCATTGTGGGGGTAGTCAAAAAGTGGAACCCTGGTGGTAACTCCATGTAGGACCTCAAAGAAAGGCACGATGTGCTGTCCCTCTTTCTTGATCTTTCTCTCTCTCGCTCTCATAAAAGGCATGCCGTCAGATCCAAGAACCAACAGGATTCCATGCAAAAGCAACCTTCAGCACCTTCAGACCATCCGCCCCCTGCAGTGTCTTTCTATTCTTCCCACTCATCTCTGAGAAAACCTATCAACTGGTGGGGCTCACCCCTTCCCTCCGCCGCCTCATGTAGAGCAGGGCCCTGTCTCGCAAGTCGACATCTGACCTCATGTCTGTTCCGAAGGAGCTGCAGTGAAAAACACTGGAGGGTTGCGTTCCGAGCAGCCCCGACGTCAGTGCCGAGTGAGTGTCGTTTTTTGGAGGAACCCCCCTTTGTTTGGTTTCAAGGTGAAGCCAGAAGCCATGCCGCTTTGCAGCCCTGGCGTCAAAGAAAGACACCGCACCAAGGCCATGGACCGACAATTCCAACCCTGCTTTGACCAATCCTCAACCCTGCCATCCGCGGCATGCATGTGGAAAATCCCCTAAGCATAAGCGGAAACAAGATTGAAACCAATGTATTTCCTTCCCTTGCATGACATGTGGCCCTCATGTTTTTGTGTGTCTTGAGGGTACTCTGTTGATGGGGTTACATTGCAGGGAAATCCAAGGGAACCCCACCGCCCCCCTCCTTATCCCATGTTTCGACAACCCTGCCAATGTCCAACTCACCCGCCCTAAAGTTGAGCTTTGGGAGCCATGACAAACAAATGGACAGCTGGGAGTGAGGGAATGACCCCCTTCAACCATCCCCCATGGTTTCCTTTCAGGGAATCCCCAGGTTCATTCCCAACACCCGTAAGGTCATTCCCCACCTATCGCACCAGAGAGGTCAAAGGGTCATCTTTGGCCAACCGAGTCGAGCAGCACTCCATCTTTCGATCTGAGGCAGACGGCTGGTAGGTGGCCAAGTGCTGAAGGAGCCGCAGCATCGGCTGGTAAATCACCGCCTCTGGCAGGCCATGCTGGGTAAAGTATGTTGACTCACTCGGCAGAGATCAAGGACTCGTCCTGAATAAGGTCTGTTCATCTTCCCTCTAGTGTATTTTGGAGAATCTATCGTCCGCCTGGACGGGTAATTGAGACCCGATTTTGAGTCATATTTACCTGATATTTAGAAGGGTCTGCCCGATTGTGGCTCCAATGAGCATCTAGGTCCTCCAGTAGAGAGATCGAATGAGGGTACCCTTTTTTCTGTGGTCTATTGTAGTAAGGGAGCCGTCCCCCAAAAAAGGGTAAAAGGGCACTCTGGGGGACCTAGGCATACAGCGACTTCTGTGTGGCCTGAGGATGCGAGAGGATGATCCTGCGACAGGTAATCAGCACGCGCCTCGGCACGCCAACAAAAAAAAACAGGCTCTGAGTCTGAGGGTGCGGGTGGGGGGGGGGGAAAGCGAAGATAGGGTAGTGTCAAGCGGCTGATTGGGCAAAATGTGTGTGTGTGTGTGGGTTTGACCATTTCGCCTGGGACAAAATCCGTTCCAAAAAACACAAGCTGGAGGAAGGAAAGCCTTCGGCTTTCCGTGAAACACCAGTCCACTGGGCAACGGTACAGCGTGCAGAATTTATGGCCAACCAACTTGAGACTATCTGCGCCGGCTTTGCACCGGGGGCATTATATTGACTGGTTCTGCGTGTTGCCACAGTCAGCAACTGGAGCTGTTTCCCTCTAACCTACCACTTGAGGGGTGACTTTGACGGGTAGATCAGGAGTAGCCAAAGGCTGGGGCTTCTGACTGCCCAAGCCTTCGAGGTTCAGGCCAGGCGTGCGCTTTAGCAACCCCTTGGTTTCACCAAGAGGGGCTGATTATTGAAAAACAAACTGCAGCTCACCCTGTCACCCTCCCAAAAAAAGATGCCCAAATATGAATCACTGATTCCACAGCGCGTTTTGGGGTTGCGGGGGGGCAACTCTGGTGACTAAGGCAGCCACATGCCCGCCTCCCAGGTCAGGCAAGAGGGGCAAAAGACCAGGCGATGCAACGCGGTCAGCACGTAGCTGGCGCGGCAACCGAGCGCTGAAACCGCAGTGAGCCGCAGCCAATTGGAGCCAAACCCCCAATAAGTTGCTTTCTCTTTTCTGCCCGGGGCTGGGGGGGGGTTCCGCAGTTCCCTTTTGAAGTCAACTCCCGTGGAAACCCGGAGGTCCGGGTGGAGCCATGCTATGGTTTGACGCTTGTGGCTGCTTTTGGATCCGTGGCCATCCTGCCGTTGGTGAGCCCCACCGGTTGTTGCAATTCAGACGAACTGGCGGGATCCACCACCCTCTTCGTCTTGACAACCAAGCATCTCTCTCACATGGATCAAGCCATGACAAGGACAGATCCATCTGCTGACCATGAAGTGTGCTGAAACAATCTTGCTTAAACATTTGCTATTTGCTATGTGTATTGTAAGTGTTTGCTACATGTTTCAACCAGGGCTTGGCCCAACCCTCAGCCCGGCCACTTCGGCTTGAACAAACGGCTCACACAGCTGTAGGGGGCTCCCAAAGCATCATTGGCCACTTTCGAGTTTTCTGGTAGGCAGTTCTCACCGATGGCGGCGGACAAGCGGCTATGCGAGCAGCCCGGTTCAACCCCTCGCATGGACAATCAGAGCAGCGTGAGGGCAGGCTGACACAAGTAAGTCCATGGAAGTCATGAATTTCTGATAACTGTTGCGTGAAAGCAGGCACAACATCCTGACTCTCTTCTATAATCGCGTTGTCACAACTCAAGTCCAGGCACCCCTTCAAGAGGTTGGTTTTGCTGGGCCAAATCCGACCGCTCACCAAACCCGACCTGGGGTCCAGCCACTGCGTCTCCGAAAGGATGACCAGGAGCCCAAAGTAGCGCTGGATCCTGCAGTTGGAACAGGCCATGGGCATTTTCTGACATGAGGCTCACTTTCAAGCTGGCACCTGAGGCATGATGGCCACAACCCGACATCCACTGTGAATCTGATCTTGACAGGGGGCAGGGTGACTCCGCGGCATCAAAACCGGCTTCTAGATCAGCATCTTGCCAGAAGGTTGCTGCCCTATACCTAATTGGATCGTTCCCTTCCCCACAAAACAATAAAAACATTTTTTTTTTTATTTTTATTAAAAAAAAAAAAAAAAAAAAAAAAAAAAAAAAAAAACGCGGACGAGATAGCGACAGGCTTTGACTCGCTGATAGTGGGTGGGGAAGCGGCACCGTCATCCAACTCTTGACCGCATCCCATGAAACGGGTTGATGAACATATCACTATAAACAAGCATCTGCTGAACAGACCGGTCACACACACACACAAACACACACAGAGGCAAAGTAAAAGCCAAAAGACAGGCAAGGTACGAGGCCCACGAGATGTTTTGAGTGGAGGACTGGACAAAAACACAAAACGTTGGGCAGCTACCGTCCCACTAACATGGACTCCATCAGAGGGTCCCTTGCGAGGAAACTGATCCAAAGGGTCCAAACCAGAGGCCAAACTTGATAATCAACTTCACGTCGAGATCCGGAGCTCCTGGAGGGCGGCTCCAGCCGCGAGACAAAGTGCCCCAAGGAGTGGAGCAGCTTGTACTGAACCGCCTGGATCGGTCATCGGATCGGAGCTCTCGTTGGCTTGCGAAACTTTGGCATGGACTCCTGAGGTTGGAGGCAAAATCTCTTCCCCCAAAAACCTCGCGGCAAGCCACCGGCCCGATTCGAACTCGAATTCGGAAGGCTGGGTAGTTTGGGCGAGCGGGGTGCAGCGGGGTATTGAGATGCCGGCCCTTCTTGGCCCTCCCTTCGCGTGAGCTTTACAGAGCTGCCCGTCTGACAAAGAGCTTTCCTGAAATCAACTCCGACCGTTATCTCTACGGGACTTGCGCTGGCCGAAAGACTGGCACTCGGTCAATTCGAAACGTTGTCCCCAAACTGCCACTATTCTGAGGTGCCAGGCATGTGCTATTTGCAAAATTGCTTGGCTCAAACCAACCACGATTGCGCCCATGCCAAAATCAAGCAAGAAATACAACCGGATGCTTCAAAATAGGGTGCTTCCCTTCGGCTTCCCTGTCAAGAAACCCCCAACAAGGTACCCTCAAACAAAAGGGTACCCTAAAACACAAGCTGGAAGCCGGCCAGCAAACCCGACCAGCGCGCCCATCCCCAGAGCCGGCCTGCGAGTTCACCCGCTGCTTCAGAGCTAGGACCTCCGAAGAGCTGCGCGGGATGTGTTGTGTCGGAGCTGCGTCGAGCGGCTGAGCTGCGTTTGACGGGGAACCGCGAGACTTTTGCCACGGTGTCGACTCGCGAGGCAAACAGAAAGTAGGTAGGTGGAAACATGATGACATTCCGCTCTGAGCGTGGGGCTGATGGCAGCAGGAAGAGATGAGATCGCCTTGGGAAACCCCGCACACACCCAACGGGACGCAGGTGACACCCTAAGTGGACCATAAATGGAACCTTAAGTGCAACCATAAATGGTACCATCAACCAAATTTGCGTGGTCACTCGGACCCCTCCACACCTGCGGCCTTAGTTCCAGACAGCATGTCGCAGAGCGCCTGCGGCACCTGCGACGCGAGCGGTTCAAGGCAGCCCTCAGGGGATCCTCTCCTCTTCATATCCAAACACCGTAGAGTCGTTAATATGATGTTGACCCCGGCATTCATAAGCCCTTGTTTCAATCCCCAATAAAACCAGAAACACCAGCATACATTGATATGTGTATGTAAGCTAACCAAACGGCACCACACAAGCAAGCGATAACTCTTTTATCCAAGCAATGTGTTGGTGCCAGGGACTCATCTTCCCCTGTCAGATGTCTACGGCTGGGTGGGCCCCATGGGCCACCCACCACAAACTCTCAAAAACTGAAGAACGGGTGTGCAGACTGATAGCGCCCGCCCCTGGGCCGGGGCCCGGGGCACCCAGGCCACAGGGGGGTCTGCCACCAGGGGAAGTGAGTCACCCACCGGCTCCGGTCACGGGAGCATGGGTGGGCCCACGCTAAGATCAAATGCATCTCCATTCAGGAGACGCGGGAGAAAAATGAACTCCTCGCAGAGTTCCTGTTTAGGGACTCTGTGCAAAGGGTCGAACCCAGAGAAATCTGGGTGCGTCAGCTCATCGGCCCACTGGTTGAATTCCCGGGGCACGTGGTTGGCCGCCAGCGAGCAGCCATGGGTGTGGAGCAGGAAGACCAGCTCCATCAGGATAGCCGCGGTGTAGGGCTTCTTGGATCCAAGGTTGAGCATCGCCATGACGTTGCCCTGATTGTCCGTCACTGCCCACCGGGAGTCGGACCCGGGAGGACAGAGGGCCTTGGTGCGTGAGGATCATGTTACAGAGGAAGAGCGTGCCCAGCATTTCCAGAGCCGCAATCCTCCGCTTGGGATCCCCATTCTTGAATCCATTTTGTTGGCGCACCAGCCTCCCACAAATGCCAGTCCTTCATCCGAGGCGCTAGCATCGCTGCAACCCCACCAAGAGGACTTCGGCAAGTAAGGGGAGTACTGGACGAAGGGCGTGTTGAAGAGGAACCGCAGCATGAACGCCAGCATCCTGACCACCTTAGGGGGTTTCCCCACCGTGGTGGTGGCCATTTTCCAGGCCCACAGTGGCTGAAGCATCGACTTCGCCAGCGGACATGCAGCAGTTGCCCATTGGATGCGGCCCAGGGCCTTCTCGATGTCCTTTGAGTGCATCGCCTGCCCTTCCACCATGATCTGCAAGACCTCCATCACCAGGATGTGTTTGTTGGCGGCCATGAGAACCTGCGGGATGTTCGGGTGGACCACGAAGCCCAGCCACGTGTTGACCTCCGCCAAATGTGTCTTCTTCCAGCTAAGCGGGGTGCCCAAGGCCAGGAGTGTTGCCAACAGCGCCACCGCCAAGTTTACTGCCCCCTCGCTGCGAAGCAGCCACAGGAAGTCATCCACAAAGACGAAGTTCCAATCCACTTGAGGGAAAAGTGCGTAGAGGACCCTGAGTAGAAGGGCTGCCAGGCGTCCCCAGTAGGATTGGGCACTGGCCATGCCGTATGTGTTCACCCACCATTCTTCCCCCAGTTAGGCCACCTGGAACTGCCAGTCCTTCCTGAGGACCTTCACCTCTCTGGTGGGCCTTGGTGACGTCCGCCTTGAGCAGCACCCACCTGGTGCCCGGCTCCGGCCATTGCCAGCCCTCGGGTGGAGGTTTAGCGACCTCCTTCTCGGGGCCGGGGGCACCCTGAGAGGGAGGTCCCTCCTCAGCTGCCGCATGTAGCCAATGAAGAGCTTGTACCCCATCCAGCACCGTCGGAGCCGTCGTCCTTTCCACCGTCTGGTTCCTGATGGTGTCATTGGCCCCCCCCACCGAGCCATCGTAGATGGTGCGGATCTTGTCCCCTTCGTCGATGCCTGCTAGGGGGCCTGGGCAAAGATCCTCCATATTGCAGCCACAGCGCGCTGCTGCCTCTACCTTGGTGAGAGGGCCATCTACCATGCCCATGGGGACCTCCTCCAGGAATGTGCTACGGATGAGCTCACTGAAGTGATCCGCTGAGGGGTAGTTACCCCGGCCCGTGGGATGAGGGAGTTCCTGAAACCGGCTCCTCCCCTTTTAGCTCCTTCTTGAGTGGCCAGATGCCCGGCGAGGCTAGGGGTGGGTCCGTGACCCCTTCAGTGGGACCCCTTGTTCCAGATCCCGAGGAAACTGGTGGTCGGGGTCCTGAATGTTCAGCGCCAGGCTGTGCAAGATGTCCAGGAAGAAGGGTTGGCCTTCCGCTGGTCGGCCTGCCCCTGGCGCCAGGATCTTTCTGATATCTTCCAGCAGGTCTTCCGGGAAGGGGTGTGCCCTGTTTTTTAACGAGAGCGACTCCTGGAGTTTGTCCCCCATGGCGACGTGAGGACACAGATCTTGGCCCCCGTCGCTGCTGCTTTGGACAATGGCCGAGTCCACGGAACCAGCCGTCCAAGTGAGGGCTTCCCACCCCCGTCCCTGAGGGGGCGCTGTTTGAAGGCCATCTGGAGGTACATAACCTTGTCGGAGAGATTTGGGTCGTGCGTGATCGGCAGGGTGGTGGGCCGATCCGAGATCTCCATGCAATGGCGTGCCCATGGCTGAAGGGGAAGAGTTTCACCCCGTAGTTCGACCTCCCTGCCCGCCGGCTGTGTTGGTGTCCGGACCTCAGGATTGTCTGAGGCCGAGACCGGACGTGAGCCCAAGGTTAGTCCCGCCAACGCTTGTTGGCCGGCCTTCAGCCTCAGGGACTGGCGCTTGTTGTCCCCCGGCGTGCGGGGAGATGGTTCCCTCTGCCGCCTCGGGGGGGTCGTTGGGTTCACTTGGGGCACAGCGCCCCAGGACTCCCCTCTGCAGAGGATGGCCGCTGCGAGACCCTGCATCATCTGCTCTGGGTACCGGCTGAGGTCACTGGAGTTGAGCTTTTCCCCCCTGGGGTGAGCTCCGTGGTTGCATCGCAGATCATGCCAATGGTGAAGGGGAAGGTCCGTTGACAATGTCGTGGACTTCACTACCACCTGGCCCAGGCGGCACTCGTCAAACTTGATGAGGGAGTGGTGGAGTGCGTTCGCCCATTGAATGTAGGCCCGTGTGACCCAGATCGATGAGCACCTCGCTGCGCTCGGGCTCTTGCTGCACTCCATTGGGTCCATCGGGTGCTCCAGGAAGGAGGAGCCCACCTGCGGGACCGTTCGTTGACCTAGTCCTTGGTAGGCCAGCGAGGTCAGGTACATCTGTCGGAGCATGAGCACGCTGTCGTTGTCCGTGTCCTCCCTTACCCGGGGCTGCAGGTCCTCCAAGCCCCACATTGTCTGCTCCGCCCTGCCCCTCACCGGCGGCGGGCCTCCCGGTTTGGGGAACCATCTGAGAATGCTCCACGTTCTGCAGTTGGGGCCGCCCCCCACAAAGGCGACCTTACCCGCCATGGCCATGGAGCACATTGTAGAGTATGGCTCGTCTCCCAGCATGTCCTGTCCAAGATCGCCACCCTTTCGCCTAATGTCCACTGCCCAAATGTACTCCGAGAAGCCCGGGTTGTAGGCATGGAGGTAGGCATCCAGGGCCCCCGCGTCGTCCTTCCCAGCGTACAGCAGGATGAGGGTCGGCTTCGACGACTCCGGCACCGGTCGTGGCGTCCACCTTAGTCTGGACCTCAGTCTTTCCGGGGTGTCTTGCATCCAGGGACAGGTGGGGCTTGTCCTTTCTGGGGTTTCCGTGTGTCCTTTGTCCGACCCACTGGTCGTCTGGCCCTGGGCTTGCTGCTTGCCCTGACGGTTCTGCCCGCCCTTGGAACGCCCCTTGCCGGGCGGATCCCCACCTCTGGGTCTCTCTGGGGGTTCTTCCCACTGCCTCGGTGGGTGCGGGGGAAAAGGGTGCTTCCGCCCTTCTAGAGTGCCCTGGCTGGATCCACTCCCTTTCGAGGGGCTTCCGGGGCCGGTGGCACCCTGGAGAAGTCCCCTCCCACCTGCGGCCGTCCTGCCCTCCCCAACTCTGTCTGCCTTCCGCTGTGGCTCTGGTGGGATTGGCTCTCCCCCGCTGTGTGCGCTCTCGCACTGGTGGCCTGTGATCCCTTCGGAGACCAGGCAGCCACGGGGCCCATGGCACCCTGTCACTTGGGGAGGTGTGGGCATGCCTGTGGCACATGCTTCGCTGGGGGGGCACACACCCACCCATCCTTCCTGACCGGGCAGTTGTGGGATCGGCCGCATGATCCAGGGCATTTGTTGTGAAGGTGATGATCCCTGCAGTACGCCACCCCTTTGGGATTCTTGAAAGCCCAGTGGTCTGGCCATGGGGTCGAGGAGGTGTTGGAGAACTTCCCTTTGCCGCCCTTGCCCTTCAGCTTGGAATGGGTAGGCCCCGAGGACCAATCCTTTTCCCCCCTTCTTGGGCTTCTCCCACTGAGTCTGCCACACCTTGGGTGCCTTGCTCTTGCTCTTCCCCTTCGTCGGCGCCCTGTTGAGGTGCTCATAGACCTCCCGTTGCCAGAAGAGGAAGTCGCCCCTGATGTTCTTGAGGGCTTCGGAGAGAGTGGTGCCCTGGTGCACCATTTCGTGAATCTTGCGCCATGCATTGCGCTCTGCAAACAGCAAGGTGGTGTCGCTCGGGGGAGGTTTCCTGCCGGCTATGTCCTCCCCATAGAACCAGGCATACCAGTCATCCAACTCCTCCTTGGTGACCCTCAGGTTGCCAAATTGCGGCAGTGCTGCCGTGCACATCAGGAGCGTCGTTTTGAAGGTTAGGTGCAATCGTTCCAGCTGGCGCCGAGATGTAGGGTGGCTCCTCACCTCTTCTTCATCCTCCCTGTCCCAGCCGTCCACCGTGATCTTCTTGTGGGTGGATGAAGGGCGTTCCCCTTCTTCCCCGATGTGTTTTGCCGGGATGTAGCCCAATTCGCCCTTGGCAATCATGCGCCATTGCTTCTTGAGGTAGCCATCACTACCCTGGAATTCCAACCTCGGCTTCGGGGCCCCACGCGTGGCCACGTAAGCATCTTCCAGCTGGCGCCTGTCACACAGGACTTCTAAGGGAGCCTTTGTCGGGCCCGCATGGCCCGCCGGGTGGTCACCCT